CGCTATTTTGCGTAGCGCGGTTTTGTCGTGCCACGGCCAAGAGGTCGCAAAAAAGGGGACACCCCGGGACACTGCGACCGTCATAAATGCGAGTCAGTTCCAAGAGCCTGAATTTTTGAGCATGTTAATCACAGGGAAGCTACAACGGTCGTAAGTGTGAAAACGGTCCCTAAGTTACATTTTTCAGTGCTGCAGTTGTAACTGGTCACTAAATGAATGGTTGTAAGTTGAGGACTAAATGACAAATCTTGTGCCAGGGGCATTCTGATGTCCGCAGGAATCCCGACTTTTCCTGAAAATGGGCTTCAACAGATCCTCCAGATCAGAGTTTGTCTACTGTGGTCCCTTTAAGGACTTCAACTCCCAGGATCCCACAGCCGGCATGCTTTCTACTGAATGGGGGATTCTGGGAGTTGAAGTCCTGACTTCTTAAAGGGAACACGGCTGACAAACCCTCATCTAGATCTCTGTGATCTTGTTGATTCCCAAGTTGAGATGCGAGCTGTGCTCCTGCCCGTTGGCTATTAGCTTCTGAGGCTTCTTTAACTGACAGTTAAAGTCCTCGACTTAACGACCACAATTGAGCCCAACGCTTCCGTTGCAAAGAGAGACAGTCGTCAAATGAACGTTGCCTTATCTGACCACCTTTCTCGTCACGGTTGTTAAGTGAATCAGTGCATTTGTTAAAGCTGTTGAGTGAATCCAGCTTCCTCGCTGATTTTGACTGGGGCACTGCGACCCGTCATAAATATGCGTCAGTTGCCAAGCGTCTGAATTTTGGTCATGTGACCGTGGGGACACCACATCAGTCATAAGTGTGAAAAAAACTGGTCCCAAGTCCCTTTTCCCAGTACCGTTGCAACTTCAAACAGTCGCTGAACAAATGGTTGTAAGTCAAGATCTGCCTGTATAGTTACCGTCTTTCCCCCAAAATAAGGCAGGGTCTTATTTTCTTTTGGCCCCCGAAATAAGCGCTTGGCCTTATTTTCGGGGAGGTCTTATTATCAGGAGACGGCCAGCGTGGTCACCTCGTGGCTGCTGCTGTGTTGCAGTATATTCGGGGAGAGGGCTTATTTTAGCGCATGAGCTCAAAAGTTCGATTGGGTTTATAATCCAGGGAGGTCTTATTTTCGGGGAAATGGGGTAGTGGTGTAGCTGGTTTTTTTTAAAAAAAAAAAAAGGAAGAGGGGTTTTTTTTGGGGGGGGGGGGAGAAACGAAAACCCGGAGTGTATTTCAGGGTCTGGAAGGGACCCCCCCCCCACTCACCTGCTCCTCCAACTTCACGTGGAGTTCATCCCTGGAGGTCAGCTCCAGGACGTCTTCGTAAGGCAGAGCCAAGAACTCCTCGGACATGGAGACCTCCACAAAGTGCTGGTGGACGAAGCTGTTGGCTGCGTCGTACAGGACAGCGCACATCATGGTCTCCGCAAACTGGCGCACGCCCAGGCAGTTTTTGGGGTGAAGCCTTCGGACAGCAGAGAGAGAGAGAGAGATGGAGAGAGAGCGGGAAACATCTGGGCCAACCCTGTCCATGTCCGTGTCCCCACCAAATTGGGTGGGTATCGGCAGGCGGATTCTCCTCTAAGCCCTATCTGGGGATTGGCCTATGGCAATGATGGAAAACCTTTTTTGTACCCATGTGCCGACCTTGCGTGCCGGAAATGGCACACAAAACCATCCTGCGAGGAACACACAACCTTCCCTGGCCTTCTCGTGCGAGGGAGCACCGAAACCCGGAAGAGCAGCATCCCATCCCGCGTGCAGGCATTGGCACCCAAATTTCCAGTTTCTGGCGCGGACTGTCGGGCATGCGCACGATGGAAACCTCGGACGTTTGGGTGCTGGTGCGCACATGCGTGCCAGAACAATGCTCTTCCGGATCTTGGTATGTGCATAGGAACATGGAAGAGAAGCCAGCAAGGCCGCGCATTCCTCACGGGATGGCTATAGTTTATTCCTAAAGGGGCAACGACGTTATTGGGGTCCCGGGTGTAAGTGTCACGGCAGCAAAAGTATCCTTTTGGTCGGGTGAGATTTCCTCTTGGCCTTCTTTCCAAAGGCTAACCTGGGTGTGTGTGTGTGATCCGCTGCCCTTTCAAAGCCCAGCGGAACAAAGGCCGCCACCTGCTGGCACAATGCAGCATGACGTGCGAATGGCCTTGGGGGCCGGAGGGAAGGAAACAATTAGATAAGGGAGGCAGGAGCCCACCCTCCCCCCAGTCGCTTAACGGTCAGAAGGAGAAGCAGCTAAAGAAGGACCAACCCAAACGGGTCAATTGGATAATGGGGGCCACAGTCCCCCCCAACTCCTGTGAATCTCAAATTCCTCCTTTGATCTCTTCCTGTGCAGAGCTGGTATGAATCCTTTAGTTGCATTTGGGGAATACGATTTTGGCAACACCGTTTCACCAAAAACCATCATTTCCGCCCAGTTTTCGGCAAACCAATGGCCTGTTTAATAACCCCCATGGAACGGTCGAAAAAAATCCTTAACGGGGCCTGCTTTACGACCGTAGACTCTATGAGAGTCATAACTCGAGGGCTACCCGCAATGTGAATTTCCTTGTTATTTCTGGTCCCAGGAGACTGGAAACTCAAAAATAAGACTGGGACCACGGTGGAATATGTACGGTCTTCTACCTTGAGGGGATGGGGGGTGGGGTTTGGACTAGAAGACCTCCAAGGAGGCCCCCCCTAGTATCCTATGTCCACATCTTCTGCATCCGCGGCTCACCTCTCTTTGAGGAAGGAGCAACAGGCATCCTTGATGTTCTGCAGCTGCAGGAAACTGGCACCCATCAAGAGAGACTGGACATTTTGCTGGTCAATGGCTAAGTGCCCATTGTAGGCGAAATTGATCAGAGCTTCCAGGGCGCTAAAATTGGAAAAAGAAGAGCCAATAGTTATGTCTATTGATTAATCAGATTCTTTTAAATGCTTCAGTAAAAGTGACTCGGAGCAGTGCACAAGTACCCAGTCTTAGTAACCCATGCCAACTACAATACGCGCATGGCTACATAATTCAGAATTTTTGGTCAAAGGAGAGGCCATTGCGGATTCTAGGTCTTCGTCCCATCATGCTTCTGATGCTCAAGAAAGTAAGATGTAAATTAGAAAACCGCCACTTCTCCTCTGAAACGGAGACCCCAGAAAGGTGGCAGTCAAACATCTTTTCCAATTGCCAGTTCCCTTTTACACATGGGCCTGATAGGCACTCGCCCATGGGCCCCTCGAGCATAGGGGCCCCGTATTAATCTGTATCAATTAACCCTTAAATGCACCTTGTATCGTATAAATACAGCAACTGCATGGCTTACTGAGCATTATTGCGTTTTTCAAGCCTCATGTATCGTTCCAATGTTTATCACGTTGATTAATTGCTGTCGCTGCACAGCATGTTTTTAATGTTTCAACACCGATTTGGTTGGAAGTGCCAATAAAATAAATATATATGTTTAAGAGCCAAGGTGGCGCAGTGGTTAAATGCAGCACTGCAGGATACTGCTAGATCAGCAGGTCAGCGGTTCAAATCTCACCGGCTCAGGGTTGACTCAGCCTTCCATCCTTCCGAGGTGGGTAAAATGAGGACCCAGATTGTTGGGGGCAATATGCTGACTCTCTGTAAACCGCTTAG